TAAAGTTGATACTTACCAAGATATATACTATATTCCATACATAATGGGCACCCTGTATATGTACTTTTCAATTAAAATTTTAAGAATGATAGTTGTTGTAGCGTCATGTCTACAAAATCCATTGCCTAAATCCAAGACAAAAACATTTAGTGACCTTTTTTTTAAAATATATCTTGGCAACAAAAATTTGTTATTATATAAAATTATTCATTCCTTTCAATAAACTCACTGAAACCTGACGTATATCAAAACTGCTTGACTAATTTAATTTTGATTAAATTTTTATTAATAGTAGTAGGGAAATGGATTTTGCAGGTGTGTCCCTTTTTCCTNTATCAAAATTTAAATTCATCAGAACCAATGAGTGCAAAAGAAATTCCAGAAAGACCTTTTCAAATCGTTGCTACTGATTTGTTTCAATTAAAGGATACCATGAATTTACTTGTAAGTACATGATAAATTTCCAGAATTGATTGAACTCAAATATAATACTACATCAGTTACAATAATAAACCATTTAAAAGAAATCTTTGCTAGGCATGGTATACCAGAAATTTTATATTCTGATAATGGTAATTAAAATTTTAAGAATAATAGTTGTTGTAGCGTCATGTCCTCGAAATCCATTGCCTAAATCCAAGATGCCACGATATATTTTTCCTTCGTCAAACAAAAACATTTAGTGACCTTGTTTTTTTAAATATATCTTGGCAACAAAAAATTGTTATTATATAAAATTATTCATTCCCATTTCATTCCTTTCAATAAACTCACTGAAACCAGACGTATATCAAAACTGCTTGACTAATTTAATTTTGATTAAATTTTTATTAATAGTAGTAGGGAAATGGATTTTGCAGGTGTGTCCCTTTTTCCTTCCTTGACGTTCTGAGGTTGACAATTAAATGAGATTAAAATTTAAAATTTATTTCATTCAATGAATATATCTTTTCCTTTACAATTTTTCTAAAAATAATCAATATGCTTGATACGGAAAGTGACCAAACAACAGTTGTACTCACAAATATTATTTAATAAATATTAGGTACGTCAAATAAATGACTCTTCATCATCTTCTTCGTTATCTGGTTGCAAAAAAACAATCTAATGTCTCTTTAGAAAACGATTTCTTGTTTAATTTTTCTATAGGCCTCGAACATGAAATGAACGGGTCCGAGGTCAATAACAATCTGTTTAGGACATCTACATTACATTGCACTCTAGAAAACTTTCTTGCAAAGTCTAATCTATACTGGCGGAAATATTTGTTACGGCTTCTTCAGAGAGCTGGCCAATTGGTACTATAGTGTGTTGTATCAAGTGTGTTGGTCCGTGAATCAATATTTTGTGAAGAGTGGGTGTTTTTGGATGCCACTCATACAACCTTACGTAAACTTCTGCTGTTTCTTTACAGAAGATCGCAAATTTTTCTGTGTTTATTTTGTGACCGCTCGAGATGACCTCCAATATAAGTTTCAATCTTTTCAAGAAGTCAAGGTCAAAATCTGTTATTCTTGATGCTGTCTCAGGATTTGAGAAAAAAACGCCGTGACGTATTACCGTCGTTGGAGTTGCCAAAGCCTGCTTTTAGTACATCCACTAACAGAGACATCTCAAGAAGGGCGGTTGTATTTTTGGAGATACACAATTTTCATATCTTCAGAGAATTCTTATTCCATCTTCTCTGTCCTCGGCAACCTCCCTCCATCGTTTAACACGTATAATTCATAAAATCGTCTTCTGCTATCATTCTACATGACCTTTGTGCCCTCCCTCGCGTTTTCTTGTTTATCGGTTTCCATGCAGACAGCTCTCTTGCGAGTCTACCTCCATGATATATCCTGTGAAAGATACCCTAGCCATCGTAGGCGTTCTGACTTTATAAAACGCAATATATCCTCGCTCGCATCATGCTATCCAGCTCGTAGTTTATCCTGATTCTTCTGCTACCGTATCAGCCTAAAGTTATGGGTCATCATTGAACTTTCCGATCTTTAAAATAATTTATGTCCGTTCGATGTAACCCCAAATCATACAGAATCTCACCCAAAACCACGTGATTAACGGTGGTTTCAAACGATTAACTATAGCCACTTCGAAAACCAGACTGCTCCTGAGGCAACAAGCTATTACTCTCCACGTAACTCACCAACTGCTGCTTCATAATTTTTTCAAGCGCCTTAGATAACGTTGGAAGAATACTTATTGGTCTAAGATCTTTCAATTGCTTGGGATTATCAACTTTTGCCAAAGGAATAACTATCCCTTGCTTCCAAAGTGTAGGAAATTTACTCTCCGAAAGACAACAATTGAGAAAGTAAGTCAGATCATTCCTATGGAAATACCCAACTAAAGCGGATGTGATAGAAGCCAGAATAAACCGCACCTCTGCCCCACTTACACTTTTAAATACAAATTGATATTGACATGCATTTATTATGGTTATAAAAATCCAAATTAACAGACGGCAAACTATCCACAAGGTCGTTTACACTATCTACAAAATAACTGTTAATACGGTCAGGGGCCCCAAGTCCTCTAACTTCATTCCATATCTGTTTAGAACTTCCTTGTTCTGTCAAATAAGCAAAATAAGCACGTTTTTCGTTCCTCACAGCTGCAGTTTTGTAATTACGCAGAGATTTGTAGTAACCCCAATCACCCCGACTGCGAGTCGTCCTGAATTTCATCTTTGCGCGATCCCTCAAATTCATCAAGAGCTTTATATTATCTGTCAACCAAGGACTGGGTGGTTTAGTAAATCTGTAATTCCTCAGTGGAGCATGAGCATCAAACAAGGCAACTAAGTTACCATTTAAAAACTCAAGTTTGCGATCAATATCATCCATACAAAATATAAAATTAAATGGTATGGACTGCAGGTCAAGCAAAAATTGTTCGTGACTAATGCGATTCAACAAGCGCATATTTCTATAAAGTGGAACACTCTCAGGAATATTCACACTCATCACATAGTACACCATGTCATGATCGGAAACGTCACAGCCAATAACTCCACTACTCAGAATTAAAGACTCGTCAAAAGTAATAATTAGGTCTATTAATAATATGCAGTTCCTCGCCGTCCTTGTAGGTGCATCAATGAGCTGCGTTCCACCTAATGAATCTATCAGAGACAAAAATTCACTGGTATCACTTTTTTCGAAATTTAATAAGGTAAATTGAATTCGCCACAACAAGCAATTTTATCCGACATACTTAAATAATTTGTAATAGAATTTTCAAATTCATTGAGAAAATTTACGTAACTAAAGTTAGGTGGTTTATACACGCAACCAACCGCAACAAACTTTTATCCAAAGTTAAACGACGTATTCATTACTATACAGTGCGTTTCAAAAGTAACGGATAAATTCGATAAAATTATTATAAACAATTTATGAAAAAATCGCTGAAACGGGTCTAAAGATTTAAATTTTTTGCAATTTTTTGGTGTATATTTTAAGTTTTTTCTGCCATTTTTAAACGAGTTATGACGTCATCGAATTTTTTTTTAAATGGAACACCCCATTTTTTATATCGGAATTTGAAAGAGATTTTTTTTCTGAATTATGTACAATAAATATTAATATCGATTAAATAAGAAAATTTTCGAGAAAAATTAATTTAAAGTTTCATTATTTCCCATTCATTTGATATAAAAAATAGTAGCAACCGTGCGTAACCATGGCAACCAAATGTTTTGATTTAAAATTTCCAAGCTGCAAATTTAAATACATCTAGAAGCACAATATCAAGATTTCTTAAGAAAAAAAAATATCACCCCTACAAAGTACACTTGGTGCCTGAGCTTTCCGATGACGATTTTGATCGACGCGTGCAATTCTGCGAATCCGAAATTTATTAAAAAGATTCTATTCTCCGATGAAGCAACATTTTGTTTAACCTTCCGAGTGCACAGGCTTTTTGAGTCACACGGAGTGCACAACGGGGTCTATATGACCCCATGTAAAGAATGTTGTTATTATTTAGGAACAAACTTTATTTGAGAAAACCAAATTATAAGAACAATGTTTACGGTCTATTTTACATTATAGATAAAAAATATTTTATTTATGACAATTAGAACATATAATATAAGAATGATTTTTACATATTGCAGTTTTACACTTAGAACAATAAAGGTTCGTTTTTTTATCATCTTGCCGTGAACATAAGGCACATCTTTTGCGTTTTGCTGGTGGTCCTGGTTGATCAAGGTTTTGTTCTTGTCTAGGGGGAACTTCAAATCCACAGCGCGCAAGACTTAACTTTACCAAAGGTTGCAAATTTGGTATACCGGACCTTATCTGAAGTTGCGCTCTCACCAAACCTTCACCTATTTCACGTATAAATAATCGTCTAGAATGTGAAGTATCTCTGAAATAATCAGGTTTAACATCTCTGAAGATTACTTGACCATTTATTGTGCAAGCATTCAACATAAAATAGAAAATTACCATAGGCCAGCGTCGTGACCCTCTTTGAGTCGTGTACGTGGCACACAATTTATCTAATGTATCTATGCCTCCCTTTGATTTATTATAGAATTCGATTTCTTCAGGCTTGTTTTTATTTTCAGCTTCCAGTTTGCTTCTATCATCATGCATTGTACTAAAAATGATCACACACTTGCCTTTCTTGGGAACATACGACACCATTTTCCCCAGTTCTGAAAAACCTTCTAACGTAGAATAAACAGCTCGTTGTTTGTTTGCTTGGAACTCTTTGGGAATTTCGACCTTATTTTTTTTCAAAGTACCAACCAGTGTTAATTTTTTTTGCAACAAACTTTTTCCTAAGGGTATAGATGTATACCAGTTATCCGTTGTGATATTTCTTGCAGTATTGTGAATTGGAACGGTAAGATTCATGACTACATCATGCGCTAGGTTTTTTGCGCGTTTTTTATTTTCTTTGCCGGCATAAATTTTTCCAGAATAAAAGTAGAATGTTCGGGCACAATTCATTCCAAAAATTTTTATACCGTACTTGGCAGGTTTATTCGGCAAATATTGCACAAAACAGCAACGTCCGCGAAAAGGACATAATATTTCGTCTATGGTAACGTATTCACTCATAATGTAGTGTTTCTGACAATTAACAATAAATGCTTCCCATAGATCGACTATTGCTGCCAACTTATTACCTTGCTTACGTATGTTTCTGGTTGTAATATCATCAAATCGAAGGTTGCCCAACAAAAATTTGAAACGCCTTTCACTCATGGCTGCATGACAAATGGCTGGTCCGTATGATGTATTCCATAGATCATGGAGTTGCAGATGAGACGATCTCATAACTCCGCAAATAAAGAGTAAACCGAACACTGCATATATTTCTTCTCGGTTTGTTCTTCTTTCATAGCTATATAAATTTACACGATTTTCTAGAACACTTTCAATTTTTATATTAGTATACTTGACTATCTTATCTACCATGTCACCATCAAAAAACAATGAAAATGTATCTTGAGGCTTCACTACAGATTTAGCAGCTCTCTTTGGATCAGGCAGGTGTAGTAAAACTATATTCTTTGCCCTTGTGCGTGATGTTGGCTTTGGAAAACTATTCCATTTAGTTTTACCGTTTTTCCCCATAAATAAATGATTATTTTCTACTTCGTTTTCCAGGTTTTCGTCACCGTCACTTAGATCATTTTCAGAGTTAGAATCATGTTCACTAAAAGTTGAGTTTTCCTCGTCACTTTCATCTTCGTCTTCACTAAATTCTTGACAATTAAAATCCGTCGGTGGAAAATTTTCATCTTCTAATAGTTTTAACCATTCATCGTCGGATAGCCTTCTGTGACTCATTTTGACTTTTGAAACAACTTCCGTATTGATACGACAAAGTTAGGAACTACCGTACAGGTTCGCGTTTTACAACAAACTGATGAACCTCTGTGGCTCTGTGATGAAGCTATACAGTTGAATGTAGCAAAGTAGGAAGGCCGGGGATTCACACAAGTAGTAATGTATAGATAGGTACTTCCCCTTTGTGTAAATAAAAGCTAAAGACGGCTCCAAATTCAAAGTATTTAAAGAAATTTCCTAAGAAAAAAAGGTACAAGAAGTGCACTGTGGGGTCAATATGANTTTCTCTGATACTTGGTTGACAATACCCTTTTCATATATGAGAAAATCTGGTTCGTAATTCTCGTCAACCTCATGAAGACTTTTATGTAGCATCTGATAGTTCTCTAATTTCTCTACAATGTTAAGTATTTCCTTTCTGTTTGTTGTAAGGTTTCCTTGTATGTCTATTAATTTACATATTTCTTTCTTTCCGTTCTTTTCATTTGTGGTTGTTCTTTCGTTTCTCTTGCTTATTCTCTTTTGCATCAGTTGTCTAGTTGCTCCACTGATTTTTTCGTCTTTTTGTGTTTTAGGTACTTTTCCTGAGTTTCTGTTATAGCTGTGACTATAACGTCAGTTAAATTATCCACGTTTGTTTTCATATGAGGCTGTTCCAATACATTACTAATACACCATTGGAAACCATATATATCCGTTGAAGGGTGCCAGGGCTTTCTGTTTAATTTAATAATCAAGACCAAGCGTCTCAAATTTTGTATTTACACTTGAATCAACATAGGCGGAAATTTTAGAGAAAGTCTGCAGCACACTAACTTCTAAATCGTGATCAGATTCGTCGTTTTTCTCCGTGATCCCATAAAGCAACAAACAATTTCTTCGACTGTAGTTTTCCAAATTATCGACTCGCTTATCATGATCCACCAAAACTTGTGAAATTCTCTCCAAATTGGCATATATCTCCGTTTGAAAAGCACTGAAATCCCTTTTAATGGAATCAATAGTTACAACAGCTTCCGGAATAGCTTCGTCTTTGTAGAAAAACGTTTCACCTACTGCTGTTAGTCTAGAATTAAATTCTAACATCGATTTCCGGAACTCTTCCGCCAAAGAGGAAAATTCAACATTTTTCCCGGTCATTTAAGATTGTTTGTCAACCTCTGGTTTAAACACCACAAACCAGTTGTAAGAAAAAACACAGACAACACGTGTTATCCCGGAACTCAGAGTTAAAGAGCAACTTCGACAAAAAGTTGACTATTAGGTACCAACACCAATCACTGATTAACAGTCAAATTTACGTTAAAATCGAACGACTAATTTCCCGTGAAAACAACTATTTTACGGAATAAAAAGAACACGTGCGCTCAACTCGACATCTCAACTCGAACCCTAGTCACTAAATAGAAATATCTTTATAAAATGTTGAATGTGCACGTGTGTATTTTGAACTGAAGTTTTTAAATTAACGACGCTTCTGAAGATGACGTTAGTCGACACATGTTAAACTGAATTTAAGAATAATAAACCAGTAAAAAAGTATAAAAAATAAATTGATTAGAATTTTCATCGTTTATATTTCTTTAAAATAATTTCCAAATATTTCTTTTGCCCACTTTGCCGATAAAGATTTTTTCCCAAACCTCTAGGCCTTACTGTTGATGAGATATAGCAGTCTTATGTTAGTGTTGGTCAAACCAAATAAAAGACAGTTTTCTTCTAATTATATTAACTTTAACTTTATTTCCAGCACTCTTCGTGTTACGTACCCGTTCGATCAGTAATTACAATAGATTGAACTGTTATTGATGATAGATGATTTAGCATTCAATTGACTCTCTTTTGTGTCTTACATTATGTTTTATAATTGTTCCGGACACGTGATTGTGAAGATACAATCGACCAATCATAGAATGACATATAAAATAATGACTTCAAAACCATCGATATCAGAATCAGCAATTTAGCAATGAAAACAATTATAGTAACCAATTCTGATGCCGTTGTTATTTTACACAATTTAGTAAACAATTAATTATATAAACAAACTTCTATGAATTAGAAAATATTATAAGCAATTCTATTAAATTGAAGGGTGTAAAGGGTGCTTTACAACAGCAGCGAGATACAGTTGATGAGATAGCGGCTCCTTGGCTTATACCTCCGTTGATCTGGATATATTCAGTCCGGCCACCGCCGTAATACCCATCAATATCAAACTTGCGATCAATTTGTTCCTGTTGACTTTGTAGAACGCCTGCTTAAAGTCTATAAACAGTGTATGTATATACAGGATGTCCCGTACATCATATCTTTAGGTACACCCATGCTACTGTAGAAGTCACAAATCAAACAACAAAGGTCGTTAGTTTTGCAAAAAAATACATTAATTTGATTACCGGCGAGGCGATAGCAACAAACCGCTCAGCAACAAACTTTTTCCTTTATATTTCCACCTACTTCTAGGGCCCATATCTTCATTATCTAGAAAGATAGCGAAAAACTAAGCACACGGTTGGAAAGCTTGGCCTTTTCTCTATCTTAAACCGAAATAAGAAACGTCGCGCTGCATTCAATTTACCTCAGAATTGCCAAACTTCACGGCCTTGTGCAGCCGTTACTAGATGGAAATTCAATAAATGGTTTACATATTCGAAAAGAACTAACCTTGGCTTGTCTTATTTCGAGTTTTCGTCCGGCAATATCTGCCGGTGTCTGTAAAAGAAACACACCTGAAAGACAACCTACAGGTAGCAGAACGCAATCACTTCTTATCCTAACTTTCTTATTTGATGAAGGAAAAATTCGGACAAAGTTTTACCCGAGAGAGAATCCTAACTTCATTTCATGTTGACAGATAATTTTTCATTCACTCTTAATTTACTTAAAACCGTTTAAAAACATATACATAAGTACGAAGGCTTTCACGGCCGGTGTTAATAAAATGTTTGACGTGTCGGATGCCATGTTGCAACCATGTTGTTCTTTAGAAAACAAGTCGAAGCGAACCCGAAAGTTTCTAGTTCTAGGTCTAGTGTTAGTTCTAGTGATAGTGCTAGTGTTAGTTCTAGTTTTAGTTTTACGTTTAGAAACATATTAAACTGTTCAAAACGGAAAGATTATTTCATGTTACACCTATTTTATCAGAATCTGAAATTGTGTTTTGATGGTTTTGAATCTGGTAACGTTACCAACCTTTGAATGCGTAAGCGAAGTGCATCGCACACCGTTGGAAAGAGCAGAAAATTTCCCATAAGATGAATATAGTTCTAGAGTTTTCTCCCCTTCAACCCTAACTTCCGTTATTGACCCAAGCGTGGTTTAGCCGCGGCAAAAATTCGTGGCAGCGCGACGTTTCTTATTTTTTCTTGCTCTCATTATCAACATATCGGCGGACGAAAACTCGGTATAAGATAGAGAAACGACCAAGCTTTCCAATCGTGTGCTTAGTTTTTCGCTATCTTTCTAGATAACAAAGATATGGGCCCTAGAAGTAGGTGGAAATATAAAGGAAAAAGTTTGTTGCTGAGCGGTTTGTTGCTATCGTCTCGCCGGTAATTTGATTGAGTTCAGGTTGAAAAAATGTATGTCTATCAAGTTTGACACACGATTTCTAAAAAAAGGAGTAGTACAACACCCTTGGCAAGTAATTTTAAAAGATGGCCTGTTTAGTCAAGTTTCCAAAATGGTACAACACTTTCCATTTTTGTTGTCATAAAAAATATTATTGCCTGTTTTTCTGCAAAAAACACGTTATTTAAAAAATTCATACTTTTGTATGTTATCTGTATTTACTTTTTATTTTCTCTTAACTTTGTTAAAAGATGTACCAGTCAATATCTACGAACAACAAAATGTGGTTTCAACAAGATGGTTGCCCTTATGTCTTGCAAAAAGACTCTTTCAAATAAGGTTAACCTAAAGACAAAATTAAACAAACAAATTTATTTATTATTAATTTTATAGCATTATTTTCTTAAAACTAAGGCAAATGCTCAAATTATTTGCCGTCGGCATTAATACAAACTCTGCATTGTCACAGAAAAGATCTTTTTACTTGTTGTGCAAATCTCTTTGCATTTATTTCTTCTGCTGATGAAACGGGAACGATTTTTAACATATTCAAAAATATATCTATTACCACTTAACTAAGAGACAGAATTTTTTTCTTATTTTTTCTAGAACAGCTATGAGTTGGCCTCTCACCCGGTGACCGCTTGACGTTGAGTTTCGGGACATCTCTATATGTTGTGCTCGTAGCATTTCTCTCTGATTTGTCGCATTAGGTGGTCAATTGTTGATTTATTCGGCCTGAAACCACATTGGTAATTTTTAAGAATTTCTTCTTCATACACTGATAATCTATTATAATATTAAAGCTGGGAATGTTTTATTTGTTATGTTCGACAATGCAATGCCTGCGTTATTTTGGCAAACTAGCTTATCGATTTTCTTATGTATTGGTATAATCAGTCCTTTCCGCCACTCATACGGCATCGTTCCAAATCATAAGTACCATCCTATGAAATCTATCCCAGAGCGCTGTCTCACCGTATTTCAGTAACTCTGTCGTTATGGTATCAGTTCCCTTTATAGTTTTTTAATTTTTTTATGGTTCCTCGATTCCTTCCTTACTTATTTCCTTATCCCTGGTTTAACTCCCTAGTAATGTTAGTTCATCTAGTTTCAATCTGACGATATTCCGCGTTTTGTTCGTCCATTCTTTTACCTTCTGCATATTGCTGATGGGTTTATTTTAAGTATGCTACTTATTGGTCGTAATTCATCAGAGTCATAATTTACCATTCGTCTGGTCTTAACGTCTGTTATAAAGGAAGCTCTTCCTTTTGATACAAGCACATGATTTATTTGAATTTAATTCTTGAAGCGCCACTATATCTACGCTATATTTATCGATCTCATCAGCAATCATCTGCATCTATTCTGCATCATTATTTGTACATTCCACGTTCCAGTCTTTATATCCTTATTTCCGCGCCTTTATCGATTTATTTTTTATAAATTTATTTCATTTAGTAAGTTTATATGAAATTGGCGAATCATAAAATATCAACTTTGAAAGTTCAGTAATAAGTCTATTCTTAGAACTTAAAACTGCCTGGCAACTAAAAGTGTATCTCAAGTTTGCAACAATTTGTCGATCTTATAACTGTACGTCTTCTTTAGATTTAAACGATCGTCTAAAGTTCTCATATTTGCAATTACACGTGAATGCCAGTTAGGAAGAAATCGTTAAACTCAATTCTTTTTTTTATATTTGGGATTTCAATTTAAGATGCAAATCAGATAAACGCTCGAAAACAAATCCTGTTATATAAAATTGTTTAAAGTTAACAAAAAGTTTTAACTTTCAAAATATTAATTGGGTAAATTTGAATACCCATTTAACTGGTTAATGTATAAAAGCTTATAGTTTAATATAATCCGTAAGATGAAAATTGAAATATGTATAAAATGGAAATTTCAATTCATTCGGTACAGTTAATAACGTTATCATTTAAATTCAAAATAAATGATTGCAAAAATTATTGAAAACACGTGTACGCAATTTAAAATAATATGTTTTTATTTTTAGGTTACGCTAGAATATCTGCAAATAGAAGAAAAATCCTTGAGATAACATGGAGGAAGACGTTTGAAATCCAGATCGGATGACTTGAAATTAAAAAATGTCAACGGTTTTAAATCGAAATATCGCAATGTGTCTCCTATTACAAAGCATAAACGTGATTTTAACTTACGGAAATTTCTTACAAACGATGACTTCCGACAACTTTCAATGTCCTCAACATCCCGATAATACCGAAAAAAATGATTATAATTTTTTGTATGATTATTTATCGGGAACTGGATATCATAATTTCAACGATTCCGTTACGATCGGGTTTCTTGGGGCTTACGGACAAGCTCAAGTCGCGTTGGGAGCTTTACCATTAGCAATAGATGCAGTTAATGAAGATAAAGGTTAGTGGTAAAATATTATTTATATCAATGTTTGGGAAGGTGTGTTAAACATTTTTATTGTGATTGACATTTTGATTGCTTTTGGGTTTTCAATCAAAACCCAGAGGTAATTATCACTTTTTCAACCAATCTATTATTAGATATTTCCATGTTATCGATTTTAATTCAAATTTAATTAGAAACCTGGTTACAACTTAATTACGACACTATCACCATTTACGTAGTAATTCTCATTAGCTTCGCAATTGTTGTTTACTTGGTGACGATAAAGGTTTTTTGTGTTAAGAACAAACAGAAAACGAATTGGTTTATAGGTAACGGCGATAATGTATTTCTTTTTCGTAACAGTATCAGTTAAACGAAATAATCTATTTTTGATATATTTGAAATCTGAGCATTCGCTAAAAGAATAAGAAAAAGCTTGGTGTGATACCTGAATATTTCGCGAAGGTCGTCTTTAATTTCGATGCAAAACTCTAGAAATTGTATTGAATGTAATAATTTTGATATTGCTCATAGATTTGCTTCCTGGAAGAAAATTAATATACATCGCAGCGGATATTGGTACGAATCCCGCTGGGTCCGGTCTGGCTCGAACTGATTCATCGTTAGCGACCAGGGCCATTAGAATAATGACCGAAATGAGGGATAATGGCACCGTTGCTTTCATTGGTCCGGATGACACGTGCTCATCAGAAGCTTTGGTGGCTGCAGCTTGGAATTTACCAATGATTTCATATGTAAGCAAATTTCAGAAATTAGCAATTTAAAAGCAACCTAAAATAATATCATAGTAATTTTAAGTATCAAGTAATACAAGAATAATAACCTTTATTCCCAGAAATAATAATTACATACTTCCTAAACCTAAGTATTCCCCAATAATAATAAAGAAACAATAAAAATACGCAAAATATACATAAATTCTTCTCTTATTTACTTTAAACTTCTCTCTCGAATCCAATTTTGGATATAGGCCTCCTAGGTTCTCTCCATTCGTGGCGGTTTCTTATCATTATCCAAACATTCACTTCATTGTGATGTAATCTATTTCAACCACAGTTTTTGCTCATAATATCTCCCATCCAATTCAGATATACCCTGTAACGTACATAGGAACAAAAAGTTCCGGATCTATAAAAACATTTTGAAGCTATGGGTTGGGTTGGGTTGGGTTGGGTCACCGAAATTCTTGGCTCCATGTCCNAGCACAAACGAAAACTATTAGGGCATTTTTATGTCAGTACAACAGGGGCGGCATAGGGAACAATTTTAATTTCCATGTCTCCAGCCCCACCTACAAAAAACTCAAATATCTCACGAACGAAAGCAGCACAAACGATAGTGGGGGGGCTAGCATGTCTCCAGCCCCACCTACAAAAAACGTAAATGTCTCGTGAACAAAAGCAGCACAAATGATCGCGTTTGCGGCACAAAACAGCACAAACGTAGCACAAACGAATACCATAAAAAAAAAGTTTAATTTCGATAGTGGGGGGGCTGGCATGTCTCCAGCCCCACCTACAAAAAACGCAAATATCTCATGATCCAAAGCAGCACAAATCGTTTAGTTTGCGGCACAAACGAGCACAAACGTAGCACAAACAAATGGCGTTTTCACATTTTAGATATGCTGAGGTGGGGGGGCTGGGGACATGGAGCCGAAATTCTTTGGCTCAAAATAGGTCGATTTAAGATAAGTTATCTATATTCAAAGTTGCTTCGTTTCGCCGCTAAACGACTTCAAAGTTAGCAAAAAAAATTCTTTTATTTTTTATAACTCGAAAACGCTTAAATCAATTTAAATCATTTTTCAGAAGTGAGTTCCTAAGTTTAATTAACGTCTTTTTATGGTTTTCGATACAATTTTATAAACACAGAAATGATGGAAAAGTCATGTGTTCGTCGGATATTAAATAATAATTACATTATTATAATTTCTGAATAACCCATTTAGTTCTGAAACTTTTTTGCTACTTGTAACATTTTAATTACGTAAGTGGTTAAGCCAGAAAAAGGGTATTTTTAAATATCCTTGTTTACGTCATTGCGATTACAAAACCTTATCGTAGATGGCACTGATTTTAACTAATTGCAGTTTATGTTTAACGTGAATACAATATCATTAATTGATCAAAAGCGTGGAAGCTCAATGGTCCTGAAAGCATACAGTGTTAGGAAAAAACGTAGTCGTATTTAAATTGATTCAGTACGAGAAACAACAACTTTTAATCAATTCTAAGAAACAAAAGGTAACAATAAACACAACAAATACAAAGACAAGTAGGAAATATTTAAAAAATTATTCAAAATGACCACCGTTTTTCAAAATACATAAATTTACTCGTCGTAAAAAATTGAATTGCACACAGTAAAAAATAATTACATGGTTCAGTACTGGTAATTTATTGCCATCTATATTCATGTAAATTGTGTCTTAAATTCAACTTAACATTAATTTATTTATGTTCGGTAGTAAAATAACATCGATTGTGTACAAAAGCACTATTGTGTAGGTGAGGCAATGAATCATTTGAAATGATTCGTGAATACTTTTGACGATTCGCTGTTTTTCGTTACATATGAGAGAGACGCGGACTGCTTGATGTTGTAGAACGACACTACACCATATTGAGCGAATCGTGTGTTACATTCCTGCGCGCTCTTGATGTCTTAGTGTTGATTCACCATTCGTTTTTTTGTGAATGTTTCATTCGGGCGAATGAAACCATTCATGCAGGTCTCTGATAGTTACCGTTTATCAGTACTGGACATGTTGAAACAACATAACACTGTTACTCGGTCTAACGCTTTTTTATGACCAGCCAATATTGTACGTTTGTACACAAGAGAACCATTAGGTATTGCACGATAAAACCAACCTATTTCATCGATGTTATCCGGTTAAGCGCTTCGTCTAGTCAGAATTTTTGCCTCCACGCTTCCATTCATCAGCAATCTTATTTTTTCCTTCATCAACTGTAAAAGAGTTGTTTTTGGCAATTCAGTTATCTGAGCCAACTCTCGTTGGCTGATATTAGGTGGTTGATTTTCAATTGTATTTAATATTTCTATTTTTTGTGCTAATGTTAGGTCTCGGCGAGGCATTTTTTCCATACACTTCCTTTTACTACTCGTGCACATTAACACGTATAAACTTGTCCGTTCACTAACAGAATGGTGGGGACAAGCAAAATCGTGCGGTCCGATTAAGCGGAATGTAGGACCGATTAAGTGGATAAACTTATAAGAGTAATTGATTTTGTTTTTGGCAATTTGGTCCATATACGGTTGGTGCGTTTATACAGTGGTCCAATAAAGCGACATCCACTGTATTAACAACGAAATCGAACTATGGAAAAAACTATGGCAAGATAAACCTGACTCAAAAGAACTAAGTGTTGTGAATGTCATAAAAGAGGCCGACATTTTTTTCCCTGAAACGAGAAAACTACATATACTGTTGAACGATCTTTTAGCAGCTTGAGGAGAATAAAAACCTGCACAGTAAAAAATAATGACATGGTCCAGTACTGGTAATTTATTGCCATGGATATTCGTGTAAAAAGTTACACGTATGTAATAGCAAAATAAATACAAGCGCATTTTCCATTTCTATGTTTGTACTTTTCGTTTGTGATTGATGTAATTTTACTTCTTAACCCAGGTAATGTACACGTATTAACACGTAGAAATAACTATATTTATATGTACAATTACTTGTGCTATGAATATTGTAGTTCGTCTGCTATGTAATAATTCATTATTCAGCCCTGTACATTTACATAATTTTAAGCTTAAATAAATGTAAAAATACGAATGTCATTATGGAAATTCTACATATCCAAATTCGTTTTATGTCTAAATTATGAAAGCCAATAGTTTTTCCACCATTGTTATAATGTTTTACAGTACAAAAGCATTAAAAGAATAGTGGAAAAAGTGTAAACTTTTACAATTTTAACAGACGGCAAACTTGGAACACAAAAACTTTGTGTACAACCTGCATACGTACTAAAGGGCACCAAACAACCAAACACTAAATGGACAGATTAAAGTGGTTTATTTTTATTATTATTATAAGAGAGCGCCTATAACGTTCGACTATTCATACGTTATTAGACTGTACTCGGCACAATGATGTCAACGCGTTGTGCGTAGTTGTAAGCGCACAGTTGTGCGAACGCAGAAAGTGGTGGTGGGGCCATCCCGTATGTTACATGTTCGTAATAGTAATTTTTAACAATATTACATGATTTCCCAATTTATTAAATACATTTACATTGTTTTACTTGATTTTCCATTTATTTACAGGTTTTTCCAATAGTTTACAATGCTTTGTGTAATTCATATTAAAAAAATGTAATATTTTGTAAATATACTAATTTCCTGTCATTTTACTTGATATTAACTGGATTTCGAAAATTACGTTGTTAATTCATGTATTATTTCATAAGTCAATCTTGTAGTATAATGTATTTTTACATCCATTTTTTACAGTGCACTCTATCAATTGTTTCGCGATTATTTAAGGAATTAAATGGTAGGAAAATGTTTCTTCGTAATTCGTCTTCAGTATCAATTGTAAACGCATAGATTTTTAACTTCAATGGCCCCCAGAGAAAATTATTACACGGTGTAAGGTCTGGCGATCTTGCTGGCCATTTTATCAGCTCCCCTTCAATACATCGAGCAGGATACTGTTGGTTTAAGTATTGTCGAACAGCCTAAATACGTTGATTTTGACGATTCAGGCGGTCAAACGTTGAATTCAAAAAATAATCATAATTACAAAAGAAATACACAAAGAGTGCGTAGAGAGTTCCAGAAACAAAAGTACATTCATCAGTAAAACAAATATGTTGCAAATATCTGGCATTTTGCTCGATTATATTTGTCATCTGTTCACAAAATTTTATTCTTCTGTCAGGGTCATCTTAAAAATCTGAAAAATGTAAAAATCTCTTAAACCCTTTTTATTTTATTGTAAATACAAATTTATTCAAAGAAATATTTCAAAAACTCCACAATTGTTTAATTTAGCAGGTCATATACATCTCAACTTTTCCGGAATATAACCGGCAATTACCATTTATATGCAGATGACTCTCAAATATATCATACTTTCAGTCCCAAAGATACTTCAAGTGTGGTTAGCATGGTCAATGATGACCTACGTATATTTACGGATACGGCCTTTAAGCATTGTTTAAACCTTAATCCTAGCAAATCACAAATTTTATTGTTCGGGCCTAGTGGCAGGAGAGAGGCCACTGCAAATAAGCTCCATGGTAAAATCTCCGTTAACAGTACAGTGCTCCAGATGGGATCTGAGGCTAAGAGTCTGAGAGTGGTGCTTGATCCTGCTCTGCGATTTGATGCTCACGTCAGCGATCTGATTAGGAAGTCTGTGGGAGGACTCAAAGCGCTGTATCCTGCTCGCGGCTTGTTGCCGCGCGATGTAAAAAAGATGTTATGTGACGCATTAATATTATCAAATTTTAACTTTTGCGATGTACTTTATGGACCTTGCTTGACTGTAGCAACATCGAGGAGAGTTCAGTTAATTCAAAACTCATGTCTGCGATACATATATGGGGTTAGGAAGTACGATAGGATCTCACATACCTTGTCTATGGCTAACTGGTTGAACATGGCTAACAGGAGGCGACTACATACGGCTTGTTTAATACACAAACTGCTCTGCAGCGGAAGGCCATCTTACTTGCATAGCAGAATT